TTTCAATTCTTCAGCAAAGGGAGAGAGCCCAAAGAGGGAAGAGCACGGGCCAAGAGCCAGAGCTGGGTGTAAGAAGCAGCAGATCCGAGGCCATTGGGTTAAGAAAAAAAAAAAATCAGGATGTGCAGAGATTCTGGAAAAGAGAAATCCAGAGCAATGAACTGCTCCAGGTTTGGGGCTGGGAAAGATGAGCCTCTCTACCACGGTCAGGAGCAGGTTCAGAGCAGAACACTGGTGGAAGAGATGAACTCTCCGGATTCTTTTGAACTAGGTGTTGAGCTATGCAGTTGCAAGGATTCTCAGTCCCAATCAGATACGGACTTGGATAGAGGTATAGGATCTTGAATTTGTGAAGATCCATCGTAAAACTGTGAGCTGGAAGAGCCCTTAAAAAGGTCTGCTTAGAAACAGGACCTTCTGGACGGGGCTTGGGAATCTGCATTTTAAATGCCGGAGTAACTCACGCACAGCCAGTTGGGGACTTTCTGATCAGTATAACCAATCTTATTTTACAGAAAAAACTTGAGTCCAGAGAGATCAAAACACAGCATAAGCAGCAGAACCTGGACTGGAAGCTAGAATTTCTGACTCCTGGTTTCTTGCTCATTGGACTGTGTGAAGTACATAATTAGTGAAGAGAATAGCTAATGAATTCTGAGAACTAAGTGCCAGGCATTTTGCTACATTCTTTACACCTATAAGCTCATTTAACCCTTCCGACCTCCCTTTGAGGGCAGGTGCTATTGTCATCCCCCTTTACAAATGAGGAACCTGGGGCAAGGGAGGTTAAATAACTTGACCAGAGGTTGGTGTAAATAAGCGCGGATCTGGGACACAAACCTAGGCACTCTGCTTCAGATCCACTGTTCACTGTCAGCCAGGAAAATAAGCGAGCACAGTCCTGGGGTTTTGTGAAGGAAGAAGAATGTTAGCTGAATAGAATCAATCTTATTTCCCCATCTGGGATAAACCAGTCATCAGAGCTCCGCCAGAGGGTAAATCCAGACCCTTCTCCAACGCTAGATGGCGCACCTTGGGTTCTGAGCGCCCACCTGTGGATAGAGCTTTGGGGACTACCCACTCGCCACCCTGATCTCAAGATGTAATAGTCACCTCTATTTTCTTTTTAAAGACAGATGGTATTCCGTGTAAGCTATTCCTAGTCTTCAGCTCTGGGGATCCTTGCCTGTGTAGGAGGGTAATCACCAAGAACAGAGCTGGCTCTCAGGAGAATTGTTTAGCGGGACACTTTTAGCTCCGGCTTGGCTGTTTTGTGAGGTAGGGAAGCTTTGCTCTTTTCGCTTGGCATTTCCGAAGTACATTAAGAACACTTAACATCGGTTGCTTGTGAGCGCATAGTATCAGGCTATCTTTAGAAAAAAATGCCTTGCCTTCCACTTCCTGTCGGGTGAGAAAGGAGAACTTTTTTTTCCCCTTAAAAAATTTAACTTTATGCCATTTGTGGTTTTATATTAGCCTTTTGAGAACAGTCGCTATAGGTCTGGAGACTTCAGACTGATAGAACCACTTGGCCATTATTTTATCCACAAACAGATTTTGTGTTGCCTCCCCCCCCCCCAGTGTTTAATTTATTTTTAAACATTAGTTTCCAATGAGCAAAAAATTAGGAAGAATTCAAAACAAAATGTGTATTTCTTGATTCTCTTCAAGAGTAGGAAAATGAGGCAACACTGGACCTTCACTGCCAACAGCAACGCTTTGCTAAAGCTGTGCAGGTTCCTTCAGGCTGTGTCCAGTCCACGGGACCCAGCACCCCCTGTCGCTGTGCTTCAGCCTGGCTTCTGTTGGCTTCTGAGTTTAACTCCCTGGTAGAGATAATTAAGGAGTCTTCCAAAGTGTCCAAAATAAACACCTGATTCCAGGCCAATCCAGGAGAGGTTTCAGAATTCAAATATAAAATGTTTTGAAGCGAGCTGGAATGTTCAGTCCGGGCACCAGACATATTTGCTGACGGGGGACTTCTGTGCCCTCCTCTCCTTTGGCATCGCTCCTTCCCTTAGGACCCTTTCCAATTCAATTCTCTGCCTGCTGATGTCTCCTGAAGGGGCCACCATCATGCACTGTTCGGCACTTATTTCCTTTCATCGTTTCTGTGTCTGGAGGGCAGAGGCATTCTTTTAATTGTACTTTTCTCTCCCCACCCAACGCTTAGCACAGTTCTTTGCTTATCATAGAAGTTCCATAAATGTGGAAATTAGGAAGCATGTTATGCCAGGAATCAGCCATAACACATCTGGGTGGTGATGGGAGTCAAGTGTTGGAAGATCACCCAGAAGGATACAAGGCATCTAGGTGGTTAGAATAAGGGATAGATTGAGATTCAAAGAACTGAGAACTGAGTCTAAGTGAGTCTAGGGATTCAAGGACAGAGGCCCAGGCAGAGGCCTCTGGGTATGTCGTCTTGGAGAAAGCATTGGGCAGCTTGGTGCCATCAGAGAGCGCCAAAGTAGGCTAAGATGGACCTTCTGGAAGATTCCTCGTCTCTCCTCTTTCTCTCCCTCTCCATGTTCAATTCTTCAGAGAATTCCATTGAATCTACTTTGCTCCCACTTCTCACAACCTGTATCCCCACAACCCTAGTCCGAGCCAGGGTCATCTCTCACCTGCAGACCTGCAAGAACCTCCTATTCATGTCCCATTCCACTCCTACCCCCTGATGTTCCCTTCCTCCCCAGCAGCCAAAGTGACTTAGACTGCTCCTCAGCCCAGAAGGTCCTGCAAGATTTGGCATCCTTGGCCTCTGTGATAACATTCCTCCCTATCCTTCTCTGTCACATGATTTCAGACATCCTAACACACCTTTTATTTCCTGAACATGTTAAAGGGCTTTGCATTTGATGTTCCCTAAGCTTGGAATGCTCTTCCTCCAGAAATCTCCAAGGCTCACTCCCTTCCTCTAATCGGTCTCTACTCAAACATAATTCCCTCTGAGAGGCCTTTAAAAAAATGTCTTTTTCTAGTCCCTGTCGTGAACACACATAGAGCTCTTTTCTGACCACCTCACCTAGAAAAGAATACCTCTCCCCACCCTACTCCCCTTGCTTACATTATGTTATATATTTGTTTCATTGTGTTTCCCACTAGAATGAAAGCTCCGTGAAAGCAGAGACTTTTCTTAACACATAGTAGATGCTCAATAGATAAATGAAGGAGTTTAGCAGATAAGAATTGAGAGATGCCAGAGTGACTTTTGTCTCTGGGGAAAGAGGTAATATTTAACACACAAGAAGAGATTCCTAATACAATGCTTTGAATATGCGATACATAGTCAAGTCAACTTAATTGAAGTATTTATAATGCAATACCATATACAGATCACAATGCCAAGAGTTGTTTGGGATAAATGATAATTAATGGGCAGACACGGCCCTCAAGAAACTTACAGCCAAGGGAGAGGAAAGAGGGCAAATAAGACCCTCTAGTTATCTTGGTAGCCTGTGCTGCATGTTCTTCATAGTCCTGCACACTGGGGCTGTTAATTTTCTTATAAGTGAATTATCAGTACCTTTTTTCACTAAATCCTTCTGCTGCCACATTGTTCGAGAGGGTGAAAAATACCTTACAAACGCATAACCACTTTCTGAGTTCTGAGCTCCCTCCCAGGACCCTCAGCCTCCTATAGAATTCCCCTCCCATCCATCCTCCATACCTGGGCTGTAGTCATCGTTCTAAAATGCACATCTGATCACCATACTCTGTTACTCAAAACCTTTAGGGCTTCCCTCGGGCCCAGCCTTAAGTCTGAACCCCTTAACACACCAAAGCCCTCCAGGTCTTGGCACCTGACTTCTTCTCAGCTTATTTCTTGCCACGTCTTTCCCACAGTCTAGGTGGGCCCGAGAGAGGTTTCTGGTCGTTGAACTGGGCTATTATCTCTCTTCTCCAGGCCTACAAAGGTGCTGTTTTCAGGTGCTGTTTCCATGATTCCCTACCTCCCCTCTCTCTCTTCCTCCGGAACCTCCTTCTGTTTCTTGGGATTCTATCTAGTTTTCACTTCCTCTGAGAAGCCTTCCCGGGACCTGCCCTGACCAAACTCTCCTTCTCTTCCTCCCTCCCCCCAATAACACAGGGCTGGAGCCTTGTATATGCTTTCTTAATACTTCGTACTCTTCTTGTCATACCTGTTTAGTTGTCTGTGTCCCCACTAGACTGCAAACTCTGTGAGGGCAGGACTGTCCTATTCTGCTTTAATTACCTGTGACCATATTTACCCACCAAGTTGCGTGTGTTGGATAAGTATGAATGGAAAAGCACTTGCTACAGTAGAAATACGGTATAATAAAAAATAAGCAAAAAATAAAAAGCACTTGCTTGATAGGATTGTTCATCATAAAATAACAATAACTTGTATTTACTAACTGCTTACGATGTATCTATCAGGCACCATTCTAAATGTTTTACAAGTATGTCATGGAAATCTCACATAATCCTATTAAGTAGGGGTTATTACCCCATATAGCAGATGGGGAAACTGAGGCAGGGAGCGCTTAAGTGGCTTGGCCAAGGTCCACAGCTAGGAAGTGGAGGAACAGGGGTCAGAAGGTAGGCTGTTTCCAGAGTCCAAATTCTACCCAGAAATCAAGTGCAATATGGGGTTCCACTACATAAACAGCTTCAAGTCGCCGGCAAAGGGCTTTGTTTTTGTTCTTGGAGAAAGGACGCACCACTGTGCCATCCGCTTCACGCTTGTGGGTCCTTTGCTGGGCTTTGGCAAGGGCTTGCCCATCTCGCCAGCCGGCCCGGAGTCTGCGGGTGAACCCCTGCTTAACTTTCCAGGCTGTGTGGCCCCCATGCCAGCTCTGCCCAGGAACCCTGGTGCCCCTGGCCGCTCGCGTGCCCCCACCCGGCCCCGGGCCCGGCCCCCAGCCTCCGGCGACGGTGGGAGGGGGCGGGGCCGGGGGCGGGCCGCTCTCCGAGGCCGCCGCCCTCGCCCCGCGCTCGCCGCGCCCGGTGCAGCCGGCCGGGTTGGAGCCCGAGGGGCGGGGACTCGGGAGGGGCCGGAGCACGGCTGCTGGTGCCGTTGCGGGAGGAGAGGAGGAAGCGGCGCGTCCTCTGAGGCGTGCGCGGGGACCCACGAGCGGACGGACGGACGGACGCGCGGAGGACGAGGGCGGGCGGCGAGGTCAGGGTCCGGCGGGGGCGCGGGCGGCGCTGCGGAGGGGGCGGCAGCGCGGGGAGCCGGGAATCGGGGGAGGGAGGAGGGAGGGTGGCGCGGGCCCGGCGCCGGCTGCGCTCGGGGTCGGGCCCGAGACCCCTCCCCTGGCCGGCGGGCGCGCGGCGAGCGCGCTCTGGCAGCGGAAAGCGGAGCCCGCGGCTCCCTTCTTCCTAGGTCTCTTTTCTTTCCAGTCAGCGAAAAATAAACACCCGGGAAGGTAAAACAATAGCAGGGCCACCTGGGACGCGGCGCGCGCGGAAGTCCCACGGTCGGGGCGGGGGCCGGCGGTGGAACCCGGGAGTCGCGGCCCCACCTTGGACCTTCCCGATTTGCCCCGGCGGAGGGTGGGGCTATCCGCGGCCCTGGGGCTCGGTGGGAGGCGGTGGGAATTCCCAGGAGTGGAGCATTTGGAGAAAGTATTTCAGGAACAATCGGGCTTCCTACAGTTTGGGCAGGGAAACTGAGGCGGAGGGAAAGGTAGCGTCTTCCCAAGGTCAGAATGCAGAGGTTGACCGCCCCGGTCCAGGAACCGGACCCAGGTGTCCGGACCGGCTCAGCGCTCAGCCGGTCTGGGTTTTGTGGCTGTTTTGTTTGCCTTTGATAAATCTCAGTTGTGTTTGCTTTAGGAATCTGCTGGCACTTTGGGACCCTTTCAAGGATGCCGAACGCCAACTTGCTTCATGTGTCCTGGGCAGGTGTGGGGCAGGTGACGGCTCCGTGACCTACCACCATGGATGGAGACGGACTTTTTGAGGAAGAAACCAAAACATTTGGTGCCAGCCAGGGTGATTTGGCCATCAAAGGTTTTGACAAAACCTGCTTTGTTCCTTTTGGGGAATCCGAATGAGGGACGTCACAGACACCTTCACTGGGAAGCCAAGGACATTTCTGTATAATTAGTGGATGAAAGGATTCTCTCAGTCTTTTTTCCCCCTTTTCCTTGAGGATTAATCCACCACAGTCTACAATCGCAGTGGAAACTGCAAGGCACACGATGAGGCAGAAGCCTAGAGCGCCTTCAGAATTGTTCTGGACCCTTCCTGTGGCATAGGGGAGTTTTAACACATGCCACCACGCCTCCCCCATCCCCCCACCTCTCTCCTTCTGATCTCTTCTCTTTAATCTGTTCCTGTTTTCTGAGTTAAGTTCTATTTCCAAAACTGTTCTCTGGAGCTATAAGTGGATTGCCAGAAATGCGAGATTAAGAGCTGGAGAAGAGGAAGCGCCCTGTGTTGTGTCTCCTTGAGGCTGTCGACATGAAGTGGTTTTTCCCAGTGCTGAGCTGTCTGGCTGTGCTGGGTAAGTGGCTCTGCTTATCAGTGCGATCGATGGGAAAGTTTAACCTGCTTTGGTTCCTGTAATTCCTTGTGGTCCTTTCCAATCAACACTAGGCTTTGGGCGCACCAGGAGGCAGCGTGTGTCACAGGTTGGCAAAGAGTACCAAAGGGCCCATTTCTGACTCAGGAGGAATGGTGGAATATTGTTTGTTGCCTTTAATGAGAAACATTTGCTACCCCTAAGGTGCCTGTCCTGGCCTTGGGGTAGGGTCCCCCATCTGCATATCCGTGGACTTCATGTGGATTGTGGGATGGCCTCTTTTAATATGACAAACATGGATGCTACAACATTTTCACTTCTGTGTTGGCCTGCATTAATTCCTTATCGGAAGTGGCAACATGATTCCCACTCTGTTGGGAAAGTTGGTTTGGTGATAATGATGGTGTCTTTTTTTTTTGAGGGAGAAGTAGGAGTATGTGGGATGGGGGTTGAAGGGATGCTTTGCTCATCTAAGTGGTCTGTAGGCTAGAAATGTTTGAGGGAACTAGTCATGTGCCTCCTCAACAAGGATGCTCAGACATAGTTCTAGGAGGAAGAGAGGCTGGAGAAATTGAAGCTGCCTAGTGGGAGAAACGTGAGAATCAGTTTTTGTGCCCCCAGTAGAGATCAAAATGCTTAGAGTAGGAAGAAGAAACTATGGCCCGGAGATGAGAACCTTTGACCCCTCTCTGAAGGATTCCCTTTCCAGTGAAGGGTCCTTCCTCTGCTCAGCACTTGTCCATTCTTTTCATGCCATTGAGCACAGTCTTAAGTGTGGTATCTTAGAACGCATCTCAGGTCCAGGATAAACTCACTAGCCAGGATCTGGTGTGTTCTCTTTCTTCATCTCAGACCTCACATCTCTGCCCTCTCTGTATGGCTCGGTTCTTTGCTCTCAGAAGGGTTGTCACCGCTGCCTGTTGTTTTTGTATCTCCAAATCTACATTTCTTGCACTTAGGGAATTTATTTGTGATCTGTTGCTTCTGTGCATTGTTTCCATCCTTGCAAGAGTTACCAAGTGTGTGAAATGAGAATGGACTTTGGAACTTAGAGGACCTGAGTTCCAATCCCAGCCTCACCGTGATTGATATCTAAATCTCAATAAAATATCCAAGGGCTCGCATGACAATTAAAGGATATAAGGCATTCTATATGACTTGACTGCCTTGAATAATGTCTGAAACTCAGAATAAATACGCTCAATCGGTGGTTCTCAAACTTGGATGCATGTTGGAATCACTGAGGGAAGCTTTTAAAAATCCCAATGTTCAGGTGACAATCCCAGACCAATGAAACCAGACTCTCTGGGGTATCTGTCTTTCAGCGCCCTCAGGTAATTCCGTGCGTGGCTGTTAGAGAACCAGTATGTGAGTTCATTAGTGTCAGTGCCCCCACCGCCCAGCACACACAGACACCCAGTCTGGCAGCAGGTTTAGTCAGTCTTCTGCTCAGCTGCGGATTAGGGTACAGTGTCTCCTGTATGCTCAAGCAGAGGCAAGAAGGCAGAGAGCTCTCCATTTGCCAGTCTTCATATTGTGTCTGTATTTGTTATACTGTATTTGTCATTCACTTAGTGTCTGGGTTTAAATCAGCAATTAGTGATTCATGTGGAATCAAAAGGACACAAACAAGGAAAGCCCTTGGGGAGGCTTGGGCGTGGGGTGGGGTGTGTAGCTAAGGAGGGAAAGAGGGCTGAGTGGAAGGGTGAGGCCCGGAGTAGGAGAAGGAACCACCAATGGGAAAACGAGAATGTGACATTTGTGCCTTTTGTTTCTTCTGGCTGCTCAAGAAATGTAAGGCTGCCTGCTGGTCCTCCTGCTGTTCGCTCTCTGAGCCACCCTGTGGAGTGGAGCCCACGCCCTGGCACCCGCAGGTGCTGTCATCCTCCCTCCACTCCCACCTTCGTATGCAAACAGGTGCCCTGGAGAAAAATAAGCCTGAAGGTGGCCTTAAGGTGGCACAGTGGCAGAAGGCCAGATGCAGGTGAAAGCAGGAAGCTTTGGAACAGTGGACATGCATGTTAATCTTTGCCTGATTTTGAGCCTGCTGGGGAACCTCATCTTTCCCATCACCTGGTGGCTCTCACTGTGGCAGGGAAGGAGGCCTTGCTACCACTTTCTTAACCTGGGAGAAACAGAAGGTATTTAGGGAGGGAACAAAGACCATGTTGGGGGCTTATTTCCTGCTTGCTGTCTCGTGTGGTCTGATTGATTCGTCAGCACTCTTGCTGTGTAATGTGAATTAATGTGTAGTATGAATTTAAACAGCAAAGAATCCCAAGGTTTTAAGCCCATGTGAGTCACATGCCTGGAATAAAATTCTGTTTGTAAAAAGTTGGATGAGGCTAAGTGCTCCGCAAAGTGAGATTGACACGGGTGCCAGCCTCCAGAAATGGCAATTTGAATTAGAAAATCCTGTGACAATGTGTGAGGGAGTACACAGGCTAGATCTCTGAGATGCAGCTCCCTTGACATCACAGACTGGTGCTTTTTCACTCCCTTCCTTTGCCAATGTCTAGGATTTGGATCAGGTATCTCTTTTTCTGTCTGTTGGAGTACTGATTCCTGCTCATGTCTTTTTTTTTGAGACAGAGTCTCACTCTGTTGCTCCAGGTAGAGTGTAGTGGTGTCATCAGCTCACTGCAACCTCAAACTCCTGGGCTCAAGTGATCCTCCTGCCTCAGCCTCCCGAGTAGCTGGGACTACAGGCATGCACCACCATGCCTGGCTAATTTTTTCTATTTTTAGTAGAGATGGGTTCTTGCTCTTACTCAGGCTGGTCTTGAACTCCTGACCTCAAGCAATCCTCCCACCTCAGCCTCCCAGAGTGTTAGGATTACAGGCATGAGCCATTGTGCCTGGCTTGATTTCTGCTCATGTCTTTGTCCTCCTGAAGCTACATGGCTTTGTACCTGCCCTCTTGACCACTGTGTCTCGTTTCCTTCTGTTGTAGCCCTGAGTGCCCCACCCAACTTGGAAGCCATTGGCTGCTATTACAACCCTTGTTCCAATTCCAAAGCCACTTAAGTCTCGGTCTGGTTGAGCCACGAGGTAGTAAAGTCTTCACTACTGAGAGTAAGATAGAGCCAGAGAGGCAGAACATTAGAGAGAGAGTAGGAGCTGGTGTGAATGCAGTATGAGTGTGAAGAAGAGGGAGAGAGAAGGTGGTTGGGGCTCTGCCTGTGCCTGGGAGCAGCCTGCATGAGTGACAGTGACATGGGAAGATGACAACAGTGTGGGAGAGAGAATAGGATTTGTATCTGAAAGAACAGGAGGGGAATAACTAGGAAAGATGAATATAAACTTTAGACACATAAAGCACATTGTGATGTTGTGTAGCCATGAAAAGTTATACCTCCCAGACCAGTGCTAATATTGCAAACAAGGTGAAATGGCTTTAAAAGTGTTAGCAATGAAAAATGCAGGAGATTGGGACATCTCTGGATCAACACAGGAGAACCTGTAGATAGCTAATGACCATTTGTGTTATCCTCCAGTGGGAGAGAAGTTCATTTGTAGTTTGGGAAGTCTCTTGTTGGAATAGGATGGGACTGAGGAAGCGATCACTTACTTCTCAGTTAGTTAGGGAAGATTTCTTAGGAGAGAGGCCAGAGGGTGCTTCAGAAAGAGATTGAAAGAAACTTTGATGTACTGCTGTGTGTGACCTTAGAGGCAGGACTGGGGTGATCAAAGGCAGAAGAGAAAGAAGAGGCAGAGGAGAGAAGTGAGGTGGTTTGGAGCAGTGGGGAGAAGGGTTCTGAAGGAAGGGGATGAGGATCATAATTTCTGGAGGAACAACTACCGTTGTCCTAACAGTTATCCCAGAGATAGTGCACTTCCCTTTCCTGGGGACTATTTGACAAGGGTGCTGGAGAAAGGAATTGGAATTCTTGTCAGGGGGACTAGACCAGCTAGGATGCCTTTTAACTGTGAGAATCATTGAGCCACCTCTGGGCATCCAGGGCTGTGTTAACATGTCCCAATCTGCGTTTTTCATTTCGGCAGTACTGCTATTACTGCGGTAACAGTAGCAATATCAACTCTCCTAACTCTAGCCCTTACTGTGAGCCAAGCCCTGTACCATGCAGTCTTCAAAACAACCCTGCAAGATAAATGCCTTATATTATTGCCTCTTTATAGATGCGGATATTGAGGTTTAGGGAGGTTAAGTAACTTGCCTGACATAGAATACTGACCAGGTTGATGTGGTGCTCTGCAGTGTTAGGGCCCCAAGCTCCTTCTAGCTTGTTCTGTGTGCATGCCCTAAATTCCCAAGAGCATTTTATGGTCCAAGGTGGCTATTCTAGCCCCAGCCATCAGAGAGGAAGAAAAGGGCTGATGAAGGGAATATCCTTAATTTAAGGATATTTCCTGGAAGTTACACATGTTACTTCTGCTTACATCCCTATTGGCTAGAACTTGGTCATATGACCATACTTAGCTGCAGGGGAAGCTGGGAAATATTATCTTTATTTTGCGTGTCCGTGTGCCTTGACAAAAACTTGAGATTCTGTTACTGCGGGGAAAGATTTGGGGGCGGGGGGAGCTACTGATCTCTGCCATAGTCACAAAGTTAGTAAGTTGCAGAGCAGGGTTTTGAAGCCAGGACCATTTGGTTTGAAATCCTGCATTCTTTCATCTAACAAGCCCCCTCTGTGAGCCTGAGGCCCAGCCTCCAGCCACTAAGAAGGCTCGTTAGGAAGGTGTGAGTCTGAAACCAACATTTGTTTTGTAGGAAGTAACTTAAATCAGCATATAATTAAACACGGTATGTTGTCATTTTATCAGTGAGTACTATAATGTTTAGAGTGCTTATGTGCCATTCACTGTGCTGACCACTTTACAGAGCATGACCTTCGGTATAAAATGCTTAAAGACTGTCACAGTCACCCCTGTGGCTGAGAACTCAGCCTGGCGCCTGGCACAAAGTAAGCAGGTGTTCAGTTAATTTTTTGATGAGTGAATGATTTCACAAGGTAGGT